GTGAAGATAGAATAGAAGTTTGGAGATGGTGTATAGAACTTTATACACGAACTGAAAAATCTTCTAACTTTGACAATAAGATATCCAAGCATCTAACATCTTCATGCCAACTTGTACGACTTTTATTTTCTTAATTTCTGTCTACATTCTTGTTCTGAAACTATGGTTGCTCTTGGTTTGTTAAAGACAACATCCCATTCTTTCATAACATAACATTCTGGGGCAGAGTCAACATAAATGACTAAACGTTTCAAATTCTCGACTGCTTTGTTATAGTCTCGAAATGGACACATATTTCTGAATGCTTGGAAGTCATAAAAATCTGAAACATCTATTCTGTACATTTTTATAAAAATAAAAAAAAATATTTTTTTTATTCTTGACTTTGTTGTTGCATTTGTTCCATTTGTTGCATTGTTGTTCTTGAGCTATTTGTTGTTGAAGTTGTTCTTGTAATACAATACTTTCACCAGTTGCATCTTCCAATTCGAAACTTTCTGCCGTCATTGACAAATACATAGGACATAAAAGTTTTTACAGGAACAAAGTTTGCGTCAACTAATGTCAACGTTATACTTGCCAAAGTGTTTTGAGTTCACTAAGGTTGAAAATTCTGCATTCGAATGAACAATAGGCAAACCAGCAGAGAAAGTATTGTTTATACGCATAAGTATCTTTTGGTCATAATAGTTTCTGTCGACATTCGAATAACACTTTGAACCTAAGTTTGAAACAATATATAAGATTGGTGTGCTAATGTCAATGGAATAGACATTCCTTGTATGCACCTTTTCCTGTTATAGGAAACTGTTGGTAGTAAAAACCAGATATAAGTTTTGTATTTATAGCTCATATCGTTTATACTAAACTCAGTCGGACATCCAAACATAATGAAACCTGCTCTAGTTGCAGCACATGTTACATCCGTCCTTAAAGTATTAAATAAGTCAACAAAACCTGTTGGTGGTATTCTGAGTAAGTATCTTCAAAGGAGTATTTTTTTACCATTCACAACAATAAAGTCTTCTGGTGTCAAAAGAGCAAAACAGGCTTTAGTCGTCATTGTGTTTAAGGTTAGTTTACATATCGTCCTTGGGACTTTGTAAGTTTGTTGTTATAGAATTATATGACTCAGGGTTTTTAGTCGTAATAGTATAAACCATTATGTCTTCTGCCATTTACTTAGCAAATAAATTTTTAATGAAATGTTGTGGTCGTCAAATATTTTTATGACGTCTGGGAAACTATACTTTAAGTTCAACGTTTCACCTCCTTTCATAACGTATATCTTGTCAATGACATTATATGAAACACCACAGCAACTAACGTCGGGTTCTATTTCTTTGATGTTTATATCGTCTGCCTCTGTCAAAAGTTTCAATAGTTCTTTCAAAATTTCATGAGGTGCGATGACATATGAGTTCACTTTTACAGGGTTGTGCTCAACCAAGTTTAACATTATACCCAAAGCCTGACAAATCTTCTCCTGAGTTTTAAGTTTGTCTTTAAGTTGTTGGTAGTCGTTTCGAATATCTGCAACAGAACTTAACTCTCTGCTAACTTCAGGGTATGTTGGTTCTTTTACAGGAACTATTGTTATACCATCTTCGTCTTCGTATGGTTTCCCCACTTCAACATCTCTTTCTTTGACATTGACAACAACACTTGACTGTTTGTTTGAGTTGGTGAATTTAACTTCACATCTGCCACCGCCATTAAACCTTTTGAAACACTTACGCTTCTATTTTTCGGAAATGACATTTTACTTAGAATAAAAAGATGGACGTATTCGAGTATCTCTTCGAATTGAAGCAGAACAAAGTTTACACACCACAAAACAATACAAGTTCATTGACAGAAAGTTCTTTACACAAACAATGGAAAATGTTATAGAATAGCAGTCTTTGCTGAACCTAAATATTTTCATAAAGCAAAGAAAGTTGGTATAACTGAAATGGTGAAAGTTCTTGAAGCAGACAAAAATATAACTTCAAAACTTACAGATATTTCTAAAGGTAAGTTATAATACAATTTTATGTCAAAACTGGCCTACTGTCAATATTTGACGGAGAGAAGTCAGTTCAAGAACAACTTACTGACCTGCTGCCAAAATCTGCTCGATGGAAGCTGTCGTTATGCCAATCTGAGGAGCCCCAGCAGGTTTCATCGAACGAATCTTCAAAAGAGCATCTTCCGTGAAAAGTGCTATTGGTTTTGTAAACTTCTTTGCTTTCAATTCATCTGGACCGTCTCTGTCACCAGTATATTGTATTTGAACTGTACCAACAGTAAATACCACCCATAAAGTCTTCTGAGTCAGCAAATGGAATGCCAAGCCAAAAGTTTGAACGGTCTCCATTTGTATATTGAGTGTTTTGAGCTCCTGTATGAGTCCATACTTTCACATATGGCATAATAGACTTTGCATTTCAGGGTTAATGGTCGTTGTGAAGTTGTTGTTAAAGTTCATAGCATCTAATGTCAAGTTGTATGACCTCATATCCTCAACTGTAGAATATTCTTCTCTTGGATAATATTTGCCATCTATGTTTATATGATATTTAATACCGGGGTTGTAGAAACAAGAATAGTCATTATAGTTCGTCTGAACAGTACAAACATAGTATCTGCATGTTTCATTGCAGTTGTTAAGGCAATATCTGTTCTTGCACCGGTCAGCACTTTGGTTTCCAACTTCACCTGCAAAGTCTTTGACAGATATTTGGTGTATAGGGAACATAAGTGGAACGCAATATATTTGGCAGCTAAAGCATTTGAAATATCTGGGTCCAACATATAGACTGCAAGTCTGCTTTCTATTCTCTTGCATTCAAATTTTTCGCATGTGAACTTAACTGGGTCCCAAGCATCTCCAGCAGCATTGAAATAATAGTTTACTTCAGTGTGAGGTTTGAGAAACCAAAGTCTAAGTCAACTTTGTTTTTGCAAAAGTCGGCGAATGACATTTTATTGTTCCCACTACTTCTGTAAGAGTGAATGGTCTTGTGTTGGTGCAATGACTAAGTTATTTTTGCTTGGAGTAAGTTCGATAGAAATTTTTCCTGCCCAGTTTGGCAAGTATCTTAAAAAACCTGAAGATGAGGAAAGATGACAAAGGAACTCTAAGTTTCAATTTTACTTTAGTGACAGCATTTCCATCTGAACCAGAAAGTTAACATAAACTCCTGGAACGTTAGGGTCAAGTTCTTATTTTCTCAATAGTTGCATACTGGTCTGTTTTTCTCTAGCTTGTGGTTGTACTGAGTTTCTCAAAGCGAACCATTCATAGTTTGCCCATGTTTACTGTTTGAAAACTAAGTCAGAGTTAGAATATATCTTATATCCCATGAAAACTTCTGGAGCATATTGGTATCCGACATAGAAAATTCCATTGCAACCTTTCTTGTCAGACAACTTGGCAGAAGGTTTTATTTCAATGTCTTGTTCCACGTATAAGAATGAGTTGTCAATAGAATTATATGAAACCTGTCGCAAGCAATATCTACTGTTTTGAAGAACCTTCTCCAAACTCACCTTACGTTTCCATAAGAAACAGCAGTTGTATATTCGTAAGTTCCAGGAACTATTTCTGACCTTCTAATGGCATTGTCGCATTCGTTATACCATTCGGAAACATTTCCGTTCATGGCATCCAAAACTGTTGGCGTTATATTCTGAGCGGCGTACATTTCATATGTGTAAAAATATAGAATAGTTGGATTTATGTGTCATAATAGAACCCACGTGGACCAAGCTTTACTTTCTTCCTGACTGAGTTTTTAACTCTTCTTTTTCCTTCATTGCCACTACTTTCACTAGATGAAGTTACTTCTTCACTACTTTCACTTTGTTCTACTCTTCTCTTCTTCTTTGGTGTCGCTTTTGGTAACTTGCCCTCTGCTTCAATTGTTGCATCTTTGCCTCATGTTCACCTAGTATGTTGTAAATTTCCCATTCCTTTTTGCCTTTGGCTCTGGTCGCCCATCTCAGGTAACCTATATCCTAGAAAGATTTTGTCATAGTTTGTATTTGAGTCTTCGCGTATTGTTTGCATGACTCTTTCCTGAGTTTTCCGGTTCAAGCTCTTCAAACAGAGCTTGTCCATATGGAATAAGCTCGTTTCCAAATATATGTTTTTGTAGCCATTCTGGTTTTCTTTCCATGTTACCAACTATATCTTTTGTGAATGGGAAAGCTTTTACCCAAAGTTCAGTCTTGCGTCATTATTTCTGTAGTTGTTTTATTTTGTCAAGGAACATTTTTTTCAATACTAACATTTCATTTGGTACTGTCCATTTGAGTTTTCTTAAATATTCATCCCTTCTCAGTTCATTGTCTGCAAAGTAAGTTTTTATGACATTTGTAAACTTTCGTTTGCAAGTCATGTACAATAGGTTCTTCCTTCTCCCTCCCTAACTTTCTTTCTAAACTCTTCACCAAATATACCATCTTTATGGTTCTGTGTAGTTCTTTGAGATAAATGTTCTAGAACGTCAGGTGTTATATTTCCATCAGCCATGTTCATTTCATACTGGTTCAAAATATCTGCATGTTTCATATCTTTCAATGGCATTAAAGCCGCGCTTAAAATACCAGCTATATCTGGTTCACCATGACTTCCATTGCGTCTACAACTTCTTGGAATTGTGGTTGTAAGTTTATGAACACCTATCCGGATTAGCTTATGACCCCATCTCATTGTAGTTCCATCGTCTGCAGAACAAAAGTAGGTTTGTTTCCATATTGGTTAGGTTCTGAATGAACTTTAAACAATGTTTCATTTCTATATGTTTTCTTGAAATTTAACCTTTTATTTTCACCGAGTTCATCCGAAGATTGAACGTTAAATGCTCGTAAGTAAAAAGGGTTGTTGTATTTGTGTACATTTTCTTTCAGTACTTCCATTCTATGCTGAAATTTTCATCTGGTGTTGGAGTCTTTTGTATGTCGGCAAACATTTTCGATATTCTTCTACTATGTCAGCCGAATTTTTTTTAGACTCTTGGAAATATTCCATATTCTCCGCATACTCTTGTTGAGGGTCAAGATTTTTCGGCTGTTCCAAATCTTCATCTAGTTCTGTGAGGTTAGTTTCCAAAGGAGGGACTTGTTCGTTTCCTTCAGGCTCTTCTAGCTGTTGTTGCTGAACCATTTCTTCCATGTCTGGTTGTATCTGAACTTCTTCCTGTGGAGTTTCTTGTACCTCATCTGCTGGCATTTCATATATTCCGAGACCGTTTTCAACAATTTCCCTATCTACGTCATCCGCATTCATAAGCTTTTGTTCTTTCGTTCCGTCTCTATTTTTTACGCGTTTCATGACGAAAGTTGAATTGTCATTTAGCTCTGACATCAAATATCTCGGAGTAAATTCATCCATGTCATTTGGATGATATGCTATTAAATCATATCCCTTAGCGAGCTTGTATTTTCCAGGTTTGAGATTATATCCGTTTTGGTGCTGAGCCATAAAGCTAAATAGGTTCGGGTCAGTATTTCCATCCTTGAACTTTCTAATAGCTTCTTTATATCTGTCACTAAAGTCAACAGTATCTGGGAAACCACACTCTTCTTTAAGCATTTTTAAGAATTCTTGGTTTCCTTGTTCTCTACTTCTTTTATGTCCTTGTTCTGTTTGTGGTTGTTGCTGTGCAGGATTTTGAACTGTTGGTTGCTGTGCTGGTTGTTGTGTTGGTTGTTGTGCTGGTTGTTGTGTTGGTTGTTGTGTTGGTTTTGGTGCATGCCTGTGTCTATGTCCATATGACGATGTAAATGTTTTAGGTAGTCCTGGTGCAGGTGCTTCTCTTGGAGGGTTTGGTGGTATATAAGTTCCACCAGCTGGCACATATGTTCCATCTGCAGCATAATGTCCTACCTGACTTTTCGTTTTTAAGAAAGCATTTACTAGGTCTGTTTTGGTCTGTTGTAACTCTTTTTCTTGACTTTCCACAACAGTTGCTCTAACGGCGTCATAGGCACTTTGAACTGCCTGTCTCGTTGCTGCATCTGTTATTTTCGTCATATTTTGTGCTACTTCTCTTAACTCTTTGTCGAAACCTTCAGACTTCAGTTTCTTTCCAGATGAGAAGTCGTTCACTAGTTTCACCTTACTATGAAGAGCTTCGAAGGCGTTCTTAAAGTCAGCATTCATTAAAGCTTCATTTGAACTGTCTTCATCCGCTTGTATTTTTGTCCTTATTGACCCTATAAGTTGGGCTGCTTTAGCGTTGGCTTGGGCATCTAACCAGTCATTGTTAGCTTTTATATATTCTGCGCTTTTCATTGCCTTTTGCATGGCTGCGTCGTTATTTTTACTTTCTTGTGCTAAGTTTTCATACTGTACGGTTTGGTTTTGCAACTGTAAAAGTTTTTCTGCCTTTACATTTGCTTCAACTTCTTTTTTATACTCATCGCTATCCATATATGTCTTCAGGGCTTTTTGTTTTATCTCTTCATCTTTCAGTACTTTATATTGAGTAGTATGGTTTTTCAAATTTATGACATCTTGTTCCATTTTTGCTACTTCTGCTGCTTTTTCTGACACTTTTTTCGCATATTCCTCTGTACTTAGTTCTTTCAGTTGTTCTTCTTTCTTCTTTTTCTCTACGTTTAACTCATTGAGTTTCTTTGTGTGTCTGTCATATTCTAGTTTCTTTTCGTTTTCACTTATTTGCTTCTGTATGTCTATGTTTGACTTTTTGACATCTGTTATTTGATTTTTGAGTGAACTCAAATTCATTTGACTTTGAGGGTTATAAGCTGTTCCGTCTGCAGCTCCACCATAGCCTGCCATTTTCGCTAAAAGTGCCGCTCTTAAACCTCCACTCTGTGCACCAATAACTCGGTTTAAAAGCATAGGGTTGCTTGACATTTGTTGCAACATAGTGGGGTCATTCATCATTTGTTGTTGCAACTGTTGTTGTGGTGTCAGTTTTACTATTGGATGTTTCAATGCTCCCTTCCTCTTACGTATATTCTTACGTAGCTTACGTGGCATTTTAAGTGAAGTAAAAAACGGTTTTTGACAGATGTTTTGTTGTGACTTCTTCGTAAAGACTTTGTTGAGATTTCTTCATAAATGTTTTGTCAAGACTTCTTCATAAAGACTTTATTGTGACTTCTTCGTAAAGACTTTGTTAAGACTTCTTCATCGTAATGAGCGTAAATGACCCAAAAATATATTTTATGTTAGAATGTTAGATCTAACATGTTTTCTAACATGTTTTCTAACATGGTCTAAAACATACAAAACTCATGAAATTTCATACGGAATTCAATAAAAATAATGTTTATGTTAGAATGTTAGATCTAACATGTTTTCTAACATGTTTTCTAACCTCATGAATTTTCATGATTTCATCGTAAATGTTTTGTCAAGACTTCTTCGTAAAGACTTTGTTGAGATTTCTTCGTAAAGACTTTGTTGAGATTTCTTCGTAAAGTTCTTCATCGTAAAGACTTTGTAAAGTCTTTCTCATGAACTTTCTTGTCAATGTTTTGTTGAGACTTTGTAAAGTTCTTCATCGTAAAGACTTTGTAAAGAAAGTTCATGAAAATTCATGAGGTTAGAAAACATGTTAGAAAACGTGTTAGATCTAACATTCTAACATAAACATTATTTTTGTCTGATTTTACGAAGAAGTCTTGACAAAACATTTACGATGAAGAAGTCTTGACAAAACATTTACGAAGAAGTCTTGACAAAACATTTACGATGAAATCATGAGTTTTCTACGATGTTAGAAAACATGTTAGAAAACGTGTTAGATCTAACATTCTAACATAAACATTATTTTTGGGTCATTTACGCTCATTACGAAGAAGTCTTGACAAAACATTTACGAAGAAGAAGTCTTGACAAAACATTTACGAAGAAATCATGAGTTTTCTACGATGTTAGAAAACATGTTAGAAAACATGTTAGATCTAACATTCTAACATAAACATTATTTTTGTCTGATTTTACGATGAAGAAGTCTTGACAAAACATTTACGAAGAAGTCTTGACAAAACATTTACGATGAAGAAGTCTTGACAAAACATTTACGAAGAAGAAGTCTTGACAAAACATTTACGAAGAAGAAGTCTTGACAAAACATTTACGATGAAGAAGTCTTGACAAAACATTTACGATGAAGAAGTCTTGACAAAACATTTACGAAGAAGAAGTCTTGACAAAACATTTACGATGAAGAAGTCTTGACAAAACATTTACGAAGAAGAAGTCTTGACAAAACATCCTCAGGGCTAGAAGGCACGAAGTGCCTGGAAGCCCCACTACCTTTTTTTTTTTTTTTTTTTTTTTTTCTACTCGGCTATCCAATAAAAGAAAGAGGAAGACCAAAGAAAAAAATTTTTGAGGAAGATGTATACAAAATTTTGGAAATTAAAGCACAATATGACATTGGATACAAAAGGATCAAAGAATCATATTTCGAAAAAGTCGAAAGATTTACATTCAACGATGCTTTCAAAATTTTCAATCAACAACATTTGTTTTACATTTTCATAGGCATCAGAAAATCGACGAACATCCACATGAATACGTTGCTCAATATGTTAATCAATTGTGGCATACTGATTTGAAATTTCTGAAGGACGATAACGGTAACCTTCAATATTTAATTTCATTTCTTGATGACAGAAGCAGATACATTATTTGCTGAGATGTTTTCGATACAAAAGAAATGAAAAATACTGCCAGAGTATTTCGTCACGCAATTGATTTAGTCAAATTGGTTCCACATGGAATTCTCACAGATAATGGAACAGAATTCATTGGAAAAGATTTTGAAGCGGTTTGCCAAGAATTCAATATAAAATATTTCAAAACTCATCCGTACTCTCCAGAGGAAAATGGAAAAATTGAAAGGAGTTGGAGACTCTTTTCAAGACAAAACCCCGGAGTGAACGTCTTTGAGTTCATACTCAAATCATACAAAGTTTTGTCGAATAGTTTGATATAAAGACAAAAAATTTACAATTTTTAATTAAATCCGAACAATCTTACATATGCAGCTGAAGCACACTCACAAATTACTCTCAATATCCACTCAAATCATACAAAGTTTTATATTTTCATTTTATTGTTTCTTAATAAAGAATTTACTTTAATATTCTTAATTGTTTTCTTTTTTATATTTAATTTTTGATATCTATTTTAAAAAACTTATACAAATTCGAGTCGGCTAATAAGTAGTAGGATATGAAGGGTTTTGTGACTTTTTTTGTTACGTCTATATATAGATGAAGGTATATTTTCACATCTTCTATATATAGATGATATAAAAATTTTTTCTTACGTTTTTTAAGTCATGAATTCGTAAGAAAGCGCGACATTATTAAATAAATTAGTAATAAATATTATATACTAAACACATTTTAAAATATATTTATTTATAAATCATTAAAAAAAATTAACATTAATTTTAAAATATATTTATTTATAAATCATTAAAAAAAATTAACATTAATTTTAAAATATATTTATTTATAAATCATTAAAAAAATTAACATTAATTTTAAAATATATTTATTTTTTATCTTTTATAAAAGAAGCTATATGAAAGCCAAAATAAGCTAATGATTATTTGAATTTATGAAATCAATTATTTGATTCATTCTTTCTTCAATCTCTTCTATTCTTTTTGTTAAATCATCTATTTTCATTAATGAGGTGATTCTTGATTGAGGAATAGATTTCAAACTAACCACCCCCTTTATTTTTGAAATTTTGAATCCATCAACTTTAAACATTTTATTCAATTTACATGTTGTCAATTCTTCAAATAATTTTTTATTATTAGCATAATAGTCATTAAATTCTTCAACAGATGAAAAATTTTTATTTCAGTAATTGGTTTAACAACGTTTATTTTTTGTTGAACATTTTCACTTTCATTTATTTCTTCCTCCTCTGTTTCATTTATTTTTAAAATCGGTTTCATTTATCATTAAATAAAAATTAGAATATAAGTGATGAAATATATTTTTTAATTAATATTAAATCAGAAATGGCGGCAGGATTCTTTAAAAAATTATGGGATGGAATTAAGAAAGCTGCGGGTTGGGTTCATAAAAAGATTATTAAACCCGTTGCAAACTTTTTGGCACCAGTAGCAAAAACGGCAGGAACTATCATAGGTGGAGTATTAGGTACTAAAGCAGGTAATCCGGCGATGGGAGCACAAGCAGGTAACGCAATTGGTGGAATTGCTGAAGGAATACTTAATAAAATAGGAGGTAGATAGTGGAAAAATAAATATTATTTTTATCTTAGTATCGGTTGTAGTCTTTGATAAACTTTTTCTCCTTTATTTAAAACTTCTCTTATTGGGGCGGCTTTTGGTGTTATTGATTCAGCAACGTCACTAATTGCTTCTTTATTCTTAAATATCCAATTTGCTCCCTTCTTCAATGTTTCACAAACTTTACTCGCTCCTCTTTTTACTCTATCCCACAGTTTCTTAAATATACCTGCAGCCATAGTTGATTATTTCATCAAAATTAAAAATTCATTTTCATCTTTTAATTTTGATTTTTTATTTATTAATAAATGACGACTAACTATTTAGTGCCAAACACTAAACCGATTAATGGAAATGTGTTTCATTCATTCGAAAAGATAAATGAAATATTCGCAAAGAATGACGGTAGAAGATATTATAGAGAACTTGAAAGTTCATGCTATGACTCTGATACTCCATATTTTGATGATAAACAAACTCATTTAAGAATTACAAATCCAGCTCATGATGTGAACCAATTAGGTGACACATATATTAAACGCAAAGTTAAAGCAACTCTAGTTTCAAATAAAGCTTTCACATGTGATGCCGCTTTTAAATGCATGCGTTTATTCGTTGGTTACAAATCATCAAATCAAAACTTTAAACAATTAGAAGTAGAAACCGAAAGAGGTGATGCCGGTTATCTTCAGATGGATTGCGCCCGTGAATCTTTCGCATTTGCAACATATAAACCAAAATCAGAAAGGAAAGTTAAAAAGTTTGTTCATTCGTTATATAATAATGTTCAAAAATATGATAACTCAGTATGTGGTAAATATATTGACCCTTCAGAAGTTTTCAAGAGAGCAAATGAAGAAGTTGATGTCACTTTTGATATGATTATTCCGGTAAATGATTTGTTAGCATTTCAGGCGTTCGATGATTATCCTAAATCATTTGGTGATATCATTCTTAAATATTATGTTTTCAGGGATACTCTAGTATTTTGTCAGGTTGACCCGTTAAGAGTTGCTGATTTACAAAATTACGTTTATGAAAAGATTATGAATCATGTTTATAAATATGATCGCAAATTCCAACAAATCGGACTTCCTGCCAAATTAATTACAAGCTTAGCCGCGACATCTGCTGACGCAATAGTTGATGACGTTATTATTTCATGCACAAAGATGGAAGTTTTAGAGGATAAATGCATTACACCAGGATACGGTTTAATTGAAGAATCGGTTAAAGCAATACCACGTTTATTTAGTAAGGAAGATCCATTCATGATTCCTGCTCAACATATTGACGTTCGTTCACTAAATGGAGGTTGCATCACTCCTGAAGGTATCAGCTCAGATTTCTCATACGCTCTTCATAATGTTACAGATGTTGTGTTAACATTTCCGAAGAATGCAATGCAAAGAACGGTTTTAGAAAATCCAATGCTTCGAGGTCTTCAGGTCACTATAGATTCCAGAAACTTCCCCGATCAAGCGATGACCACAGTGGGTGACATATTCTTTACACGTATGCTTCAAGCTTCTGATTTAGATGGAGTGAATGAATGCACAGAAGAATACGAGGACTCATTAACTAGACCACTGAATGCAGATGATGGCGCGCCATTAGCTAGAACATGGAAAGACCAAACTTCATTCTTATGCACTATTCCAGTTCAACGTGATGGAGCGGGTATATTCTTTGATGGATTAGAAACTTTCAACTCACAAGTTACAGTACAAGTGAAAGCTTATCCAATCATTCAGGGTGAAAATGACACTTACTGTTCAAAGGTGACAAATCCTCCTCAGGTTTGGTTTACTAGGACTACATATTGGACATGGACACCGGACGAAGGTTTGAAATATCATCCAACAGGTACACCACCACAGTATAGAAGTTCATATGATGAAATATTGATGAATAGAAATGTTTAAAATTATAAATTTATTTTTGATTAAATGGATTTAAATTCATCCACCCCTTATGAAGAATTAGCAGGAGTATATAATACATACGTAGATGATATGATTAATGAAGCATTGAGTGATAATAGAAATGCTCTATCTAAGGAAAAATTAATGAAAATTCCATATTCTGAATGTTACTTAAATTCAATCACTGCAGCAATTGGTAAACAGAATAAAGGTAAAACATTAACGATATTAAAACAAATTATCATTATTGCTAACACTTCCCCCTATTCACATGTGTTAATTTATATCAACCGTTCAGGTTCACCTTCAGATGATACATTTGAATCTTTAAAGCATTTAATCAAAATTCCAATTATTTATTTATCACAAGAAGAAGCAGAAGATTATTTAAAAAACTTTTTAATGTATAAAGAATTATATAATACAATCAAGAAGCAAGGATTAGAGGATAAAATTATTGATAAACAACGGGATGAATTATTTGAAACACTTTCTATTTCAAATTTTGATAGAGAATTTTTGCATTCACTCATTTTTCTAGATGATGCAGTGAAATCAAAACTAATAACAAATGAGAAATCATATTTTAATCAGTTATTAACTCAATGTCGACACATTCAGTGTTCATTCTTTATGGCTGTTCAATATTTCAAAGCATTAAGCACAAACATTAAATCAAATCTATCAATACTTTTCATTTTCAGTGGGTTTAGTCGTCAACAGTTGAACGTTATGCTTTATCAAGTGAATTTACCAATGAGCATTAATGAACTTTACACACAATATCAACAATTAGGTGAACATGGAAAATAATAGTTGATTTAAATAAAGGAGGTGTTAAATTTGATTAACTTTTTATAATTAATTTTTATTTTTTATTTATAATTAAACATGACAGAAATAGCAAATCTTCTACAGGTTCCATTAAAACAAGGGACAAACAAAAAGGGTGCATATAATAGAACTATGAAAGTTCCTGATGGAATGAAAGAATTGGTTCATATTGTTGCTGGTCTTCAAAAAGATGTTAAAAAATGAGAAACGTTTTAACATTACCAGAAGCTCAAGCATATGCCAAACGTCATGGTCCAAATTGGAAGCACACGAAGCAGACATTACGGGTCCAAATGGAAAACCTGATGGTATAAATGAAGTTTTCGTTACTGATGGTCAAGGTAATATTAAAGTCATAAATGGTTACAAATTAACTATAACTGATTATCCTAAACGTAAAGCATATAATGAACGTTATCCTATGCAATTTGATGAAAATGGAAAAGCTGTTAAACAATACATTGGAGAAGGTGAAAATGGTCCAATTAATTCATACCGTCATAATCCATATTCTTATTTCAATGAAGAATTAAATGCTATTGAAGAGGGACCGGATGGATTACCACAATATTCTAACCAGTTTGATGGTCAATATGCAAATATTAGACCTGAAATTTCAGCTAAGAAATTCTTTAAAGTTGCTTTATTCGATCCAGTTTTCGCAAATGTTAAAGATGAACTTAAACAGCAATTCCAACCAATTATAGTAGCAAGAATTGCATCCGGTGCTTTATCTCAAGCATTCAAAGATTTAATTAAGAAACCATTATATCAACAACGAGGTTTAACTTATGATTTAGTTAAGGAATCAGATAAAAGAAAATTTGAGAAATCAGATGATTATAAGAATGCAATTAATGAATATATTAGGTCTATTAATTACAATGAAACAGCTAAAAATCAACTTCATGAACAAATACAGGGAATAATAGATTCAAAAGTTCCAGCAAAATAAAAGTTTAAATATATTTTTTTATTCGAATATAAATGAGAAGACGTTTCACTAGTCAAAAGAACACTAACGCAAAAGCAGAGATTACGGTTGGTTATAACGTAAATGATGATAAATCACGAATTATTCAAAATGTTAAAGTTAATGTTAGCCCCGAATTAACAAGGTCAGCAACTCAACCAAATTTATTAACTCGTGACTTACCGAAGAATGAGGAGAATGAAGAAAACCATGAGAATGGAGACCCAATCATTTTATCTGAACCCGGTAAAGAACCTGTTGAAATTCCCACTTATCCAACATACCCCCGCCTCTTTCATCAAACATCGAGAACCCATATAAAATAGACATTAATTCTGAATTAATGAAAATTTACCGTGATATAATAATTAATAATTATGATTCAATAATAAATTTAATTGACCAATCCGGTTTAATTATTTTACCTTATGAATCATTAATTCACATTATCGCCATTCTTTGTGATGTTCAAGATTCAGACGTTAAGATTCAATTTTTCATAGATGATGAGGTTTCATGCTGCGGAACAGTTGCAAAAATAAATCCTATAAAGGATATTAGCACAATTAAGATAGCAAAGAACGGAACAACAACTGAACTTCATTTAACATATAATGATATTTATAATAAAATAGTTGATGAATATAAAATATCACTTGAAAAATTCTTTGTTAAGGCTATTTAATATTCAAGCATTAACATTATCGAATAATAATCCTTTGAATCATAATCAATAATAATTGACCTTTCACCAGTTTCTATCGTTTGTTTTATTTCTTTTTGTTCCCCACTATCCGGATCGGTCATTGTAATTTTTTGTTATAGTATCAGCTTTATCTTTAACTTCAATCTTTTTTCCATCGGATATTTAAACCAAAATTCCAAAAATTCGATATTGTCAATCTGTTCATATTTTAATCTATCAATTACATTTTTAATACCATCTGAAAATCTTATGAAATGGTCATTATATGGGTTTGATTGAACTAAATTTGAATGAAGTGAAATATAACCTGTTGATGAATATGACACTGACTCATATTTTCTGAAAACACTAAAATTTATAACATGAATGAATTTCTTATTCGTTGAATTTATGAATTCTTGAGGTAATCTTATTCTAGTTTTATTTATCACTGGAAAATAACGCTTTACCATATTTTTAATCGTAATAAAAATGTCAATTATCAATATTATTTCGAATAATAACTGTGAATTAAATTTAACAGTTAGCAGAATTTATAATGTTACTCTCGTTTCTGTGAGTGGTAAATTTAATCCCATTCTTTTAGACCCTTCAGATTATATATCATTTATTAAAGATGACCTTGAAAAAACGTATGATATGTATATAAATAATGTGATAGCGAAATGGGATATTAACATGATTTTAAGTTATTTAAATGAATCATTTATCGTATGGTATGAAGAAAATTTTAAATCAAAACCCGATAAACTTTTTGAACTTGATGAAATAAATAACCTTATTAAATTCCCGCTGAAAATTAAATTTTGTACTCCTCATCTTCGTTCATTGTTGGGGATATTAAATTTTGAAAAAGATGTTGGGGATGTTTTGTATTCTGACACTGGTTCCAATTTCATTTTAATCAAATGTGATAAAGTTAATACCCCAATGAGATTTTCACATCAAACATTAGACCCTAACTCTTACCCATCAATACAAAACATTTTATCCATCAACTTAAACACATTTTCTTTATCATATCCGTTTCAATTATCCGGGAATTCATTTATTCTTCATTCAAAAGATTTATCAAATATTAAATTTAGAATAACTGACCTATTTGATTGTGATTTAGAATTTATGAATGAAATATTATGGCAATTTCAAATAGAGAAAATAGCTGATGAGATAACAGATTAAATATTTATTTTTAAATCGTAATAAATGATTAAACAACAGCAACTTAAGGCGCAAAGCACCCAGGTCCTTCAGACCATTACATACGCCATATATGCATATAATTCAAAGACGGCAGAACAAACGCAAAGGTTGAAATATGGAGATTTGGAGATAGTATTGAAAAATGACCGTTTCGAATTCGTTTGCAAAGGTGGTGCAGTGATATCAAATATAAAAGAAATTTTATTTATGAATTCAAAAATTAAAGGAATAACGGATGATATAACATCAATTCCACCAGAAGAACAGAGATATTACGCATTAAATGCATTTCCTAAAGTTTTGAAGATTGGAAGATTTAATTTAAATGAGGAATTCATAGAAGGTTTCCTAAACGACATAATGAAGAAGGTGGATAAGGAATATGTGGATAGTGAATTAAATAAGAAGGCAAATTTGGTTTATGTAGATGAAAAAGATAATGAAATTAAAGAAAAGGTTGAATGGTATCATGAATGGACATCGGAGACTTTTAAAGTTAAAGCTGATACAGGATGGGTTTTAGGATGTTTAGACCTTAAAGCAGATAAAACTTATGTTGATGAAAATTATGCAAAGAAGTCGGAAGTAAATGATGTGATTACAAGCATGAAAAATGAAATACTTCAAACATTATATCCTGTTGGTTCTATTTATACGTCAATGAATTCAACAAATCCAGAAACAGTTCTGGGTTTTGGTATGTGGAAGCAGATTGTAGATAAATTCTTATACTGTGCTAGATATTCAAAGCAAACAGGAGGTTCAAAGAAAATTAAAGAAGCAAACCTTCCACCGCACACTCATACAGGAACGACAAACTTTTCTGGCGACCATAGACACTCATTAAGAGACCACCCATTATACAACTCAGAGTATGAAGCCGGTTATGACGTTTTATCTCCAGCTTATAACGATTCAACAAAAAAGACTTTTCGACAAACTGAACCAGGAGGAAATCATTCACACACTTTCACAACAAATCCAACAGGCTTGGGTAAAGATTACATGCCACCATTTGTGACTGTATTTGCATGGTACCGCGTTCATTGAACGCGCTTGAGCCTAGACCCTTTGGGTCAAGGCTTACCGAATGAACTAAATATATTTTATGTCTGTAATTAATTAGGTAATGAAGTAGCGGATGAACTGCAGAAATATATATTTTATCGTTAATGGTTTTTAGGTTATTCAATAATTAATTATTTTTGAAGAACTGAAGGTGTTACCATGTTACCATGTGCTACCAGGTTAATTAACTTCTCTTAAAATTACTGACAACATGACATTTTGACAACAACACAGGAAATTTGATGCAGTCCAAAAATAATTAATTATTTTTAAAATTATTTTTATTTTTATTTTTATTTTGTATGTAAGAACAGAAATGTCAGTCGAAGCAAAAACATTCACGAACAAATCTAATGGCGAAACATTCACAAAAGGCACTTATAATGGTATTGAAGTCTTACGTAGAGACAAGGATGGTTACATTAATGCAACAAAGATGGCAAGAGAAGCGGGAAGGTTAAACCATTTAAACAGATTTCTCAATAGTACTAAAATGCAGGAAATTCTTGAGTTTTGGATGAACGAATACGGTCAAGCCAAAAGTGGCTCGACCTCAAAACAAGCATTTTATGAGCTTACTAGGGGTGTTATAAATGAATTCAAAGGTATTTACATACATCCTGACCTCGTTCATTTTGTTGCTGAATGGTGCTCTGTAAAGTATGCATTTTATGTCAAAGATATTATGGACTCCATAGACAAGAAAGTTCATGAGAAGTTAGATGAAGAAGAACTCGAAGATACAGTAGAGAATGCTAAACATTTGTTTGAAGAAGAAGTTAGAAAAATGTGCGAAAAACAATTAGAACATGAACGTGAGATATGTTATGGTTATAGAGATTCTCCATACGAACTAGACCAATGGGAACAAGAAGATTTAAAGAGAGAATTTAGAGAATATGAACTCGCTAAGATAGCATTAGAAACTGCAGAAAAGAAGTTAAAAGTTTGGGGTCGTTTTGTACAAAAGTATTGTGAGTAAATGAACCATTTATTTTTATTGAATTCAGCACAAAATTCTGAGTAAAATGGCATATGGCATGTGTCAAACCGTTGAGTTTTCACAAAATTCCAAAAATATAATTTAGGTGAAGAGGTGAGATCTCACCTGTTTTTTCACCTGTTTTCTCACCCTCGCCGCTTAGCGGCTCAGATTGCTTTAGCTTTCTCATGAATTTTCATGACTTCATCGTATATGTTTTGTCATGATTTCATCGTATATGCTTCATCGAACTTAAACGTAAATGTTTTGTTATGATTTCATCGAACTTAAACGTAAATGTTTTGTTATGATTTCATCGTATATGTTTTGTCATGATTTCATCGTAAATGCTTTGTCGAACTTAAACGTAAATGTTTTCAGTGTTACCATGTTACCATGTGCTACCAGGTTAATTAACTTCTCTTAAAATTACTGACAACATGACATTTTGACAACAACACAGGAAATTTGATGCAGTCCAAAAATAATTAATTATTTTTAAAATTATTTTTATTTTTTTATTCCTATATAAATGACAGCAACAAACAACAACAGTAACTTTATCGTTTCTGATGAAAAAGTTATTGATTCATTAGCTGAGGAATTAGTTGTGGCAGAAACTAAAACCCTCAACGAAAGAATTGGTGAAAACAAGATTGATTTACATAACTACCTCAAACACGATGGAGGAAGAGGAAGGAAAACTGGTATGGCTTTATTAGTAAATAAAATATCAAATTTAACGATTATAGATGTTGATATCAATAAATCATACAATGATGAACTTAAAGAAACGGTTAGAAAAGACATTCTATCAAAACTTTCGGATAAAGACGTTATAGTTAAAACCGCTTCAGGAGGTCTTCACATTTATTGCAACACTAATTTCTTCTATGCAGTTTCGAACAGAATGATTAAATGTTATTCCTGCAATGATTATGATATCGATATCATGACTTCTATTGATGATTCAAAGCGTTCATTGGTGGTTATGGCTGATTCAAGAGTTCGCAAGAATGCAACAGAACCAATCAGTACATACTCATTCATTCGTGGAAGTTACGATTCAACATTAACTAGAACCGTGAATGATATATTAAATGATTTGAATATTAAGGTAAGAGTTGAACAGAAGAACGAAGAAATAAAGACTATCATGAATGAAAACAAAGATGTAAACATTGACGATAAACTTGCCCAGAGCATAGTTGATGGCATCAGTGATTTTGAAGTACATAATGACAGTGGAAACATGAATTTAGAAAAAGAAGTTACATTATTCACACTGTTTTAAGCAATTAATTCGTTACCTAATCATTTAATTAATGAAGCATACGATAACGTTTATAACTTCTGCAGCTTAACTGAAAATGCAAAAAGTAATTTTGAAAAAGCACGTAGTAGATATGCACATTTAATGACTTCTCCATTTGTTTTAGTGAAGATTCTAAAACTATATCAAAAGGAATATTATGATGAATATGTTTTACCTTTATTACGTAAGCCAAAAATAACATTTGATATCAAACTTGATGACTCGTTTTTGATAACAGATATTAGACGCAAGGCTGAAAATCATCAGTATAAAAACAGTTCTGAAGTAATTGAGGATTTATCACGTGTAATCCGTTTTGTAGATTGTGGAAACAAATACTTCATTCAAAAGGACTATAATATCCACGACAAAATGAATCAAATATCATTCGTTCTTCAATCAAACATGAAAGAGTCACTTAAAATGATTAAATTATTTAAAGAAAAAGGTAAAACAATAACAGCATGGGATGTACTACTAAATCAATTATCCTCATTAACCGTTAAGGGTGTTTGCTTTAAATCTGATTCTCCAGATGTTTTCTCATCGTTTCAAGGTTATAAATACAACGTTCTCGAAAAGCCTGATTACTCAAAAATTGAGATGTTTATGAATTTCATTAAAGAAGCCATTTGTGATAATAACGATGAAGTGTATAAATACCTTCTCGGCTGGATTGCATCAATGATTCAACATCCTGGAATCAAGAATGAAACAGCAATTATTTTGAAAGGACTTCAGGGAACAGGTAAAAACAGATTTACAGACATTATTTCTGAACTTCTCGCTGGTTATTCATGTAAAAACATTACTGAAATAAGTGAGCTAACGGGTAATTTCAATTCAAAAGTTGAGAATAAAATGTTTCTTGTACTTAATGAACTCAAGAATGTAGGTGAAGACAGACTCGCAAACTTCAACGCTTTGAAATCAATTATAACGGATAATGAGATTAGAATTAATGAAAAGAATCAACCCAGAAGAACTGCTCAGAATGTTGCAAACTTCATTTTCGTAACTAATAACGTCTACCCTGTCAAAATTGAAGTTGGAGACAGAAGATACGTAGTTTTAAGAGTTAATGGTAAATTCAAGGGTCAATTTGATTACTTCAAGAATTTGATGAATTCATGCACAAAGGAATTTTATGATAATTTACTGACGTATTTTATCAATTACGACCTTTCATCATTTAATGTACGAATCATACCGATGACTGAAGCCAAACAAGATTTAATAGAATTATCAACAAATCCTTTAGATGTATGGATAAATACACATTATGATGAATTCTGTGCAGGTATGACGTGTAAAAATGCTCTATTCTGCAAACCATCAGACATGAAAGACAAGAATTTCCAAATGAGTATTAAGGATAAATGTGATAGGAAACATAGAAAAATAGACGATAAACAAACATGGTGTTATGTTTTGAAAGAAGAAATGAAAGGATTATATAAACAGGTTGAACCAAATGATAATGATGATTCATTTACTGACGATGAAATACCTGTAAATGAAGCTTTATAAAGTATGATTTGAATTTATTTTTGCCTTCCTCCTGTTGTGTTGTCAAAATGTCATGTTGTCATCATTTTTAAGAGAAGTTAATTAACCTGGTAGCACATGGTGACATGGTGACACCTTCAGTTATTCAAAAATAAATTTTCTTATCATTCAAATTAACTAAAGATGAACTTAATAAAATGATGATAAAATAACTGATAACAAAATTTTATTTTTATATAAATGAATACCCCACAAGCTCAAAATTTACCACGAATCATAACAAGGGAGGAAATGATAAAAATGATGCAAGAACTAATTAAAAACAACAAACCACGAAAACCGAGAAGATGTGGTTATGCAGTAATGATGGAAAGAAGATGAGGAATAAAAATTAAATTTGGATTGAGTTTAAAAATTCATCTTTATTAAATTCATCTCTTCCAATCAATTTATTTATTCTATTAAATTCTTTTATTTTTGCTTCACTCAGTTTAAGGATTGAACGGTAAGTTTCTAATTTTTCGATTATTTCTTTCCTCTCTTTATCGTTTTCAGCCCCACCACATTGCGGCTTCTTTTTGTAATAGCATATTTTTGATTTAATTCTGTTTAGTTTCTTTTTATATTCATTGTCTGGACTCTTGGATGCTTCATTGTCACTCATTTCTTACGAAATAAAAAAAATTAAATATTATTTAAATATAATGGAGTAATAAAATAAATCGGAATTTCTATTAATTTATTGTCAACTTCAACTAATGCATTGCCGTTAATATAGGGTGTCCAAAGGTGCGTTTAGCACAGCGCTCTATATGAGACTATTAAAGGAGATATATGCTGATTATAAATATATAATAAAAAATATGAATATATGTATATGATGAGTATGTTGTATTTTGGCGCCATGCCGGGATATAAAATGAATTTTGAGACAAGAGGCGGTTTCGCGGGAAATTTTGGCGGGATTTTTTTCATTTTTTTAATGAATCATAAAGAAAACATCCTCGCTCTTGCAAAAAAATGCAAAGACTGTAAAAAAATCTACGAGACATTGGTAAAATGCTTCGGTATGGATGCTCCTAGCTATTCCACTGTAACGTATCATGTTAGGATGTATCACTTCATGAACAAAAAGGCGCCCATCATAAAAATTGACAAAAAATCGCCGGATCAAAGAAAAATCAAAGCAATTCTTCAAGCGCTAGATGAAGACCCAAGAGCATCACTCAGAAGGATAGAGGAGATGACAAAGATACCACGTACAACAGTCAGTTATTATCTGCACAATTATTTGAACTACAAACTAGCGTATACACGTTGGGTTCCGCACAACCTTAATTCAGTTCAAAAAAAATCTAGAGTCCAATCTTCGAAAGAGCTCCTCTCTATATTGGGTGTGTATCAATCCAAGAAGTTTCGCTTTTTAGTAACAGGGGACGAGTCTTGGTTTCAATATGCAACAGAAGCCAAAATCATGTGGATCCCGAAGGATGAAAATCCGCAAACATTCCCGAAGAAAAAAATTGACACACCAATGATGATGTTGTCGGTTTTTTGGGGCGTGAATGGCATCATCGCAATTGATATTCTTCAAAAACATAATACGATGAATGCTCAGTATCTAATTGACAATGTTCATACTCAAATTATCAATTCTGATGAGTTTGAGAAATCCAAACAACAAAAACAAAAGTTTGCAATTCATTTTGATAATTCAAGAGTTCACAAAAGTCATAAGGTAATGAATTACTTGGTGGAAAACAATGTCAAAGTTGTTCCAAACCCAATTTATTCACCTGATATTGCACCCTCTGACTTTTATTTATTCGGCACGCTAAAAAAGAGAGCTGAAGGACGCGAATTCGCGAGTCCAGATGATCTTGAAAATTTTGTAAGAGAGCAATTTGAGCAATTTTCTCATGATGATTTAAAGCGTGTCTTTCAAGCCTGGATCGATCGCTGCGAACGCGTGATTGAATCCAATGGTGATTATATTTAAATAAACTTTATATATATGTAACTTGTTTATTTCTATTCGCAGTATTCAGGTTTGTGCTAAACACACCTTTGGACACCCTATATATCTAACAAATTCAGCTATTGTGTCAAATCTTCGTCTTCTTTTTGTCATTGATTTATCAGTTTTTCCATAATCGAGATGAATCAAAACTTTATCCCCTTGTTTAAAATTCATGAGCCCCGAATTAATTTGTTCACGTTTAACATCATTTAACCTTTCCATTTGCTTTCTAATATATTCCCATTCTTTTGAAATATCATTTTTCATTTCCACTGGTTTCATGTTTATAGTTCTATGCCATGTATTATTGTAATAATATACTAACTGTTGTATGATGGAGTCATGATTTCCATCCCAGTATATCTGACCGTTAACCCCTAACGCATCTCTAAGAGTTCTCATTACCGCATCAACTATTTTATTATGAAACGTGTATGGAGAGGATGAGAAGTAAAAATTAATTTGTGGGAAATAATGAATCACAGCTGCCTGAAATCCTTTATCACCATCACCCCTGATATTATCTACTCTTTCATGATCTAGTAAGTATTGTATAGCTCTTCTTGTTTCCTGTTCTGTTTTCCCTTTCACTGGAATGCAATATAAATATCTAGTGTTAATGTTAATGGCAAATAAATAAGTAACTTTTCCTTTTGAATATTCCAGATGATCGATTTCGTATGAATATGGATATGGAGCAAATGAAGGGCGACTAAATTTTTCCTTTAACGGTTGAATTTTCGGGTCAATTGGTTTATTTAATATCTTGAAATCCTTTTTAAAATCTTTTTGCTTCTTTAATGTTTGAAATGGATATAATAAAGTGAATGATGAAGGATTAACTGTCGTTGGAGGTTTTGGTATTGCAAGTGGTTTAATTTTATCTGCTTTGATTTTGGATGATGAAGTTTTAGTTGTTGATTTTCCTTTCATTAATTCTGAATGTATTCTATTCATTTGTTTTAAATATGCTGTATATAAAGGTTTGATATACTTTCCCGCTTCGAGTTTATGTTGAAGGATGAATTCCAAAAGTTGATCTTCATTTAAAAGTCGGGCTGAATATGGTTTAACTAATGAATCAATAAATTAAAGCTTGGCTCATTTATGGTCTGAAGGACTGGGCGTTTGCACCTTTTTTTTGTTCCTTTGGTTTTTGCGGCTCAGGATTATATAATTTATATAATTCATCAATATCTTCTTCTGTAATACTTTATTTTGAAATCTTTCAACTGTTTAAGTTGTGATTTAGTTTTCCCTTTGTATATTCATTATTTTAATTTTGTCTTTAATTTTAAAATTATTTTATCATGATATTTCAAAATTTCATTTTTATAATACGAATAATAATAATCCATATCATCACCCATTATATTTTTTTATGTTTTTGGAGATGTGATTTTAATTCATAATAATTAAGAAATTTTGATTAAATACTAAATCATCAATTAAATTTCTAAATCTGCGTTATCCATTTATATAAAATAAAATAAATGTTTTAAGGGTGCCCACCTCTTTGAATCATAGTATCAAAACCAATTTACATATTGAATCGCATCATAACGTTCCTTTTGTCTCTTCTGTGGCATTTCATTAAAAATAAAATTTTAATGTATTAAATAAATGGCATACAACATCCATTTTCACAACATACAGCCTAGTGTGTGCTCTGTTAATGCAGTCTTACAATGTTAAGCGAGTCATTGACCATTTTTAAGTTGTAAATTAATATTCTGACCATCGAAATAACTTTATCATTTATTATATCCAAATAATTTTTAGGTGTTAATTGTTTATTTTGTCGTAAACTAACACTTTCATTTTTGTGCAATCTTTTAAAATCACTTCCATCAATTGAACCGTTGAATGATGTAAACACTTAGGGCATAAAGCAACCATGTTATCACCTTGTTTCTCAATTGCTAAACCAATAACTTCTTCTCATGTGCTTTTCTTCGGCTTTATTCTTTAATTTGGTTTAAATTTCTCATCAAAACAAAAGAAATCAAAAGGTGCGAATTTGAAAATGTTTTATCATAATAATTGTTTATCGGTTACAATCGCCTGAAATGCTTGAGTGTTAGGAAGATTTGGGTCGCCAGCGATTGCCCAATAAGATGAATCAGTATCACCTTCAATGAAATGAAAACGATTAACAATCCATGCATTTATACATAAAATCATAAATGAAAACCAAATACCAGTATTTTGCGTTATCTAAAGTGAAGAATGCCTCTTGTAAACATGTATCACATCTATAAAATCTATCTTTAAGCATCACTTGATATGTATCTTCACCTATTTCTTATGTTTTTAAACTTATTTGACATACATGCAACACGTGCCTTCTGTGCATTCATTATTTTAGTCTTTGCGTAATTTTGTGTATTCATTGCATCGTAACCATATGATCCATTAAGTGAAATCTTGCAAAATAAACTTTTTCCTTTATTTCCTTCTAATTCAGCCTTTTGTCTTTCGTTCATAAATTTGTTCGCAAATTCATTAAAACAAGTGTTTTTCGTAAATGTTAAAATTGATTGAATATCATCAATGATAAAATGAAATCTGTCTATTAGATACCAAAGATAATAAGAAGAAAATGGTTGATATTGGTTGTGTGTTGATGCTAACTGAGTAATTTCCTCTGTTTCTGGTCAACGGTAGATTGTTTGATTTCATGTAATTATACATAAAACTGCCAATTGTTTTTCATCTGTGATAATATCTAAGTTTCTTATTATCGGTAAAAAGTTTATGTAATCATTAATGTATTTTTCATCAATATGACCCTTTACTTCAGCACAAATAAAGTATTTTTCTTTCTAATAATTCCCAGTGCTTTTGCTTTCTTTGTTGCTGTATCACAAATGATAAACACCATTCAATCTTCCCGGCATATACATTTTATGGTCAGTAATATTGAATGAAATCATGAGGATTAGATGAAAATGAAAAGGATATAATGAATTAAAATCAACACCAACAAAAAGTCATGATG